GTTTTTCTCGACCCCGTTAATATTTATGCTTTTATCTGTTCACTACTGTGATGACTATGCAGCGCAGTAAATATTCAGAGTATGACTGCATGATCTCTAATTATATCAAATATGAGGAATTTTTGATGATTTTCATATATATTTTGTTAATATTAGGAAATAAGTTTTTCTGCATAATTTATCACCGTAACTCTGATTACAATATAAATGAGTCATGATAAGTGATAATAATATCTGTGTATGATATTTCCATCTATTCATTCACTAACCTTTAACGTTCCATATTGTTGCATAAATAATAAATTTTGATATATATCATTATCAGTTATCATTTTGTAAGGATATTTTTGGCAACCATTAAGTACTTCCCATAATGTTACACCAAAAGACCATACATCACCTTTCATTGTAATTCTTTCCTAAAAATTACAATTCAACTTTGATAAACAATTAATTGTAAATATTGCAAACAGCAAAATTATATCATTATACAAATGATATTACAGTAATTCAAGTTTTTATTCTTTAAGTGTTTAAATGAAAGAATAAACATAAACATTATTCTTCTACAACAATTTAATTCGTCGATTTTAATTTCAATTTTAATTCAATTGGATCTTTTCAAAAAAAGAAAATTTAATGTTTACCTGTCTTATTACCTTTATTAGTTTTATTAAAATTTTTATTAATTATTTATATTTTGCTTTAAACTTAACAATTTGATTCATTTATTACCTTTCTTATTTAATCATTTATTAGAACTATTTAGTTCGTTTATTTTAATTCAATTGGATCATTTTAAAAATTTTAAAACAATTAAATTAGAGTAAAGAGAAGGAAAAATAGAGTGGAAAAAATTCAAAAATAAATCCTAATAAATTGAATAAAATATTAATTTTTATCTTGCACTAAACGATATAATTAATTAATAACAATTTTTATCTTGAACTAAACTATACAACTGATTATAATTTCCACTTTGTTTATGTTTATTTTCATTAATTTCACCAATCTATCGATCTTACTTCAATAGCTGCTTCCCAAGATATCCACCGGATTCGTCCACGATCGATTGTATCATCCGTTTCAAAATGATCCAATGCATAAGCCATGTTGAAATTCGTAAGTTTAACTGTACCATCATTAGCAACCATACAATTATTTGCCGAAAGATTTCCATGGATGAAATTTTTCGATTCCAAATATGACATTCCCGCTGCAATTTGTGTGCTTACCGATAATAGCAATTCTTTCCTATAATAATAAGCTAGAATTAATAATTATATGGATTATTTGTTTTACAAGAAAGTTTATTAATTATGTTCAATATCTCTTTCACATTACTAATTGTAATTGTAAACATTCCTGAAGATCTTAAAAAAAATAAACCAAAAAAAAATTAAACTTGCCAATAATTTAAGCTAACCTATATGTTAACTTATTATTTAGGCTCTGAAGATATTAGCCAAGATAGCTAATCTATACGATAACTCATTGTTTAGGCTTTGAAGATATTAGCCAAAATAGCTAACCGTGATGATAACTTATTATTTAGGCTCTGAAGATATTGGCCAAGATGTTGTTCGATGTATTCATGAATACAGCTTGTTAATATACCACCACAACAAATACCAATCACTTCCAATATATTTTGATGTCTTAGGCTACTTAATTCACCAACAATTAATTCAAATTTTTTTCGTTCATCATAATTTCGATGAAATGTTTTATTCACCACTGTACGTTGTTCCAATTTACAAAGCCAAATCTAAATTTTTAAAATTATCACAAAGTTCTAAACTTAAATTATAATAATCAATATAGAAATTATTATTGAACTATATTAATTATGTATTTAATATTTAATAGGAATTAATTAGTACTTAATATATTCATATTTAATATTTAATAATGCTAAAAATATAACACAAAATTTTAAACTTAAATTATAATAATCAATATAGAAATTATTATTGAACTATATTAATAATGTATTTAATATTTAATAGGAATTAATTAGTACTTAATATGTTTATATTTAATATTTAATAATGCTAAAAATATATTATCCAAAATAAATCATCATTTGTTTTTTTATTTGAAAGAAATTTTAAACAATGAAAAATAAATTAAATTCATTAACGAACCTCACCAAATCGACTATTACCCAATTGTTCATTGAATCGTAAACATTGTGAATCAATTTCAACAAAATTTCTTGTTCTATTTGCAGTATGAATTTTATCGTAATCATTAACTATTTGAGATGTTATCAAATTTCTTAAACAATTAGCAGTTTATTTTTGGTGGAATTATAAAATTAATGATATCAAATTAATGATATCAAAATTTTATTGAAGATATTTACTTCTTTCTTCATTAACTTATTTACTTCATTACAACAATTATTTACCTCATTAATTTACTTAATTATTTACTTCATTAAAAAAAAATACTAACTCCATTAACATATATCCTAATTGTCGTGGATGTCGCATACAAATATTATTTGAGGCATAATGAACTGTTGAATTTGAAAGAGATTTTTTGTAATCGATTGTTGCATTGTTAGTTCCACTAGTTTCCATATTATTGCTAGAAATTAAATTAATTTTATTTAGTCGTTTTAATTATTTAATTAAATTAATTAATTAGTAAAAGAAAAAATGATATGGAAAGATTTTATTATCCAATTTGATGATAAATCTTTGAATTGCTAAAATAAAATACTTCAAAGATTTCAATATGAAAGCATTAAAATTTTCTTGGATTTAAGCTTATGATAACAAAAGATCTTTAATCATATGTAATCTCCAAGACATATCATTGATCTTACTAATGATCATAGAATAGTTCTCTAGTCAGACTTTTTTTCTAATCAATAACATTCTTGATCAGAATTAAACATTTTGCTGATAACGATAACATACAGTATCATTATCTTTCAATTAATCTTACTAACAATCACAGAATAGTTCTCTAATCAGACTTTTTTCCTAATCAATAACAGTTTTGATAAGAGTTAAAATTAAGTCTGTTACTGATAATAACAGCGCACAGCTGATATATTATATTAAATCATGGTATATTCGATAATCATTCACGGATAAAATGAATAAATATACCTGACGTAATTTGGTTCAGCGTATTCACTAGCATCAATCGTTTGATTAGCATGAAGTTTTTCCAACAATGAATTCTGCATATTATCATTGGTCATACGATAAGCATTAGGTGACGTACGCTACAAAAAAAAATATGTCAACAGTTTATTAATAGTTTAATTTTAAAAAAAGAAAAGTTTAATTCCAGGTGTGCAAAATGATACGATCAAAACTATCATTATGATTTCTAATTAATTATCTTATCATTCCTAAGTGTTTACGAGATAATTAGCTTTCATCAAATATTTCAAATAAATTTTGATTCAATTCTAGTTGCAGAAAATGATAAGGTCAATACTATCATTATGATTTCTAATTAATTATCTTATCATTCTTAAATATTTACGAGATAATTAGCTTTCAACAAATATTTCAAATAAATTTTGAAATCGTAAATTTTATTTTTATAGCCTATGTCCGTATATCTGAATGATTTTGTTAAATTTTATTGAAAATTTTAAAATGGAAATAAGAACTTTAGCAATTCGTCCTTCAATTGTCATTCGTATATCTTTCGAATTTTTCTTTAAAACTATAAATGATCCTTTGCATGAAAATATCCGACGATAAATCCATAGCAAATAGAAAAGAAAAATGAGTGCACAGAATAGTAAAATGAGTGATATGATTACAGCTGAAAATATTTCTTATCAAATTAAAATATAATTTGCTATTTTATATTTTTGAAATTCTACAATTACATCTTTAGTATTAATGTATGTTAATTAAAATATGTGTTAATTAAATTTACAGTTTCATCATAATTTTACAGTGTTTTCATCTTTAGTATTAATATTTTAATTAATGCAAGTTTGAATGATTTGATTTTCATCAATGATAAAAACATTTCAAAATTATGATACTGTAAATTTTAAAATGTTGAAATTCATTTCCACATTGAAATCCATTTTTTATTAAAATTCATTTTTCTAAAATATTGAAATCCAATGAATTATTAATTAGTTGAAAAAAATATACACACATATATGCATCAGCAGATATAATATCGTTAAACATATACGTACGATAATTTCAGTAGATCAAACTTATTTGAGATAAGTATAAATTAAATGAAACAAACCAACTGATATCCATCGTGTACCATCTTCAGATGTATCATTGATAGCAAAATAAGTTAATGTATCACCTCTATTTGATAATTGATCCAAATCAAATTCCTCATCATCATCATCCATATCATCTGATTCGATCATTTCATTTGCTGCAATGATAATGACTTTTTTATCGTGATAATGATAATGGCCATTGATAATGATAATAATTTGCAATGCTATTGCAATGATTTTTTGAGAACGAAATACATTTATTTCATTTAATCATTAAAATTTGATTAATTAATAAAATAATACATCGCTTAGAATTTACATTAATCTTTATTACAACGTTATAAATTTAGCTTTAAGTTCGATTAAATTAATTTAATAATGAAGCCATTTTAATTTAGCTTAAAAAAATAAATACTAAAACTGACCAAATTCAAATTTAATTTCACTCAGTAATAGCAAGCTGCTATTTTTCGGCAATTTTAATTCCACTCGTAATTCTTTGGCAATTCGACTTGGCACCGGTATTCTTACCCATCTAAAATTCATTTTAATAAATTCCAAAAATATCAGAGAACTTTACATTATTCAAATATTTCTGCAATTAATTTTTTAAGTTTTAATGATTTAAATAATTAATTAAAAAGTTGCAATCATGATTTTTATGATAGATTATAAATTATGATTTTATTTATTATTCTCGTTATTATGATTTTATTTATTATTCATTATCACAATAAAACAAACCTTGCCGATTGAAAATTTTTATCTGCAACATAATTAAAATATAATGTTCTCGGCGAATATTGACCACCACCCTGTGAGGAGAACCAAATATATGCTTGTTTAAATACCTATAATAGTTTATAAAATAATTTACTCGAAATACAATTCAACTTTTATAAATAGAAAAGTAAATTCTTGCGACGAGTTTAAAATTTGGAGAAAAATTTTTGAAGAGAGAAAAAAGATTTGGGAAATTTTTGAAGGAAAAGTATAAAATGTAAACAGAAATTCATGAATTATCCAAAACTATTTTCAGTTTTCAATTTTTAATTTTTATGCAAAAATTTGGAATGGTTAGTTACAAATGAACGATTAAAATAGTCCATTAGAAATAAAACATAATCAAATGTACAGTATGTTTACGTTTTACGTAAACGTTTTATGTAATAGTTTGATAGTAATTAGATAGTAATAATTAGATGTGAATGATACGTGAAGCTCATTATATCTATCATTTCAATTGATCGAATTTTTTAATGATTAAAAAATATGATTAAGCCTAGGGTTAGTGGAGATTCATTATCACTTAAACAATTAATCGTCAATTCTAAATGATAAGCCTAAATTAAATTTTCTTCAATTTTCAATATAAAATATGATGCAATACCTGAGCACCACTTTTTAAGAAATTTGACGTATGAAATAAAATAGCATTGATAATTTTCTTCTTTGCAAATAACACTTCAATTATAATCGTTCCTCCTACAACAAAATTTTATTTCATCTTTGAGAAGAAGTAAGCCTAAAAATTCTCTAAAGATTATACGACAAGTAATTGAAATAGATGAAATAAAACAATACTAATTTGAAGAGAAAAAAAATTAATTAAAGAATTTTTTTCTCTTCAAATTAGCATTGTTTTATTTCAATTAAAAAAAATTTTTTCTTAGCAAAAAAAAAAACACAAACAATTTTATGATAGCTAAATGAATAAATCAAGAAGAATTTAATGAAATAATAATTTAGTGATTAATCAGGTATCAGCAAATTTGAATAACTATTTTTACCTTGAAAACTTACCTATGCGAAATAAAAAAAGAAAATTACTCTTACAGGTTAATAAATAATAAATATAAATTATGCAAAAAAAGAAAGATTAAAATTTAGGAAAATTATGATTAGAATATAAAATGTATACCATGCTTTTCTCTACTCCAACCAATCCATTTTTCAGGATATTTCTCGAAATTATCTAAACCAACTGCACCATCATATAATTTACCAAGGCCTTTGATCAAATATCCGGATGATGAATTTGTTATTCCATCATATGATACATCTTTCAAATTTAAACCATCAACAATATCACCTTCTGGTATAGTATAGGATAGTAGTTGATCTGAAAAATTGATTAATAGATAATTTAGTTAGATAATTTAATTGATGCTGAAAAATTCAAAGGATACTGAAAACGAAATAACTTTAATCTTTAACCTTTGAATTTTATGATAACTTGATAATGGGCAACCTTTGCATAGTATCAAAAGCAAAATTAAAAAAAAAGATCTAATCCCAAAATTTAGTTCCTAATTTAGTTTTATTCTAAGCCTTTAAAATTTGTGATAAAATGATAAGATTATCGCAACCTTTATAAGGACAACCATAAAGCTCAACACGCATACAAACGGTACGTGTTATTTCGGAAACAGGTATAATACGTAAATTTCGTGCTACGATACCACCATCAAGTGCCCGAAATACTGTTGATTGCGTGTCACTATTTCCGACCATTACCTATAAAATTTCTTTTCTTTTTTAATCCCTATTTTTTATTATAATGCAAATAACACGTTTACGCTTACTTTCACGTAATCAAATACATCAATAGTTGCAATCCAAATAAATTGTAAAAATTTACGTTATTTTGCAACTATCATTCAACGTACGTCAAACGTCAAAATTCATTCAACGCACGTCAAACAATCTATCATATAATTAATGGATTTATTCAATGAATCGGAATTGAAAAATCGAAATTGAAAAATCTGAATTGAATAAATTCATTATTTTTACTTTTAATCTTACCGAAAAAAAGAAACAGTAACATAAAATAAATTTTTAAATTAAAAAAATCCTCGAAATAATAATTCTCTATTTCCTAAGAGAGATAATTATATTCATTAAATAAGTATTTCAGTAAAAATTTGAGTAAAAATTTCTTTCATATCGAATTCATTTTTTTAAAGATATTTTGTTGGGGAATTTAAGGATGATATTAAGCAAATTTTGCATACTATCAAAAAGTAAAACGAAAAATGAATTATTCTCACATTTTATTTATTTGACCAAAATTTCACAAAATGATTTGAAAAAATTTTATTCCTAAAATTTTATATAATTTTAAAATATTCAATTTATACTACAAAATATTCAATTCATACTACTATTCAATTTATACAAGAATTTCTACTTCAGAGTCTGATCAAATCCATTTTTATTTGTTTGATTAAATCCATTTTTATTTGTTTAAAAAATATATGCAATAAATTGCATAACTTAAGTAAACAAATTAGTTATGTATTTGTTTAATATGTCTACATAGCATTTATTTTGCATATCATTCTCAAATTTCTGTACTTAATTAATTAGTCGCTTTAATTAATTGCTGTCTAATATAATTTAATATAATTAATTATTTTCATTAATCATTTTTCTGAGCAATACAACGAATAGAAATAATTGAGAGCGATTTTAATTATGTGCAAATATTTTCAGTGTAAATATTATTTCATTTATATTAACAAAATTTATAAACAAAAAACGAATAGAAAAGTTTAATTTTTTGTTTTAGAACCAAACATATAGTTTAATTAAAAGATTTAATTTATATATTAAAATTAATTTAAATTATAATTAATATATTAACCTTGGTTAAAATTATTAATTTAATTAATGAAATGAAGCAAAAGATACCTCATTTTGTTTTTCATCTTTATAACGTGCCCAATTTCCAACACTTTCACGCCAATACTCTAACATATAAGCTGGCGCATATTCCAATCCACGTCCACCATCAAAACGTCCTTGTGTTTCAATAGCTGTTATTACCATATCAATATCGAAATCAATTTGTAACCATTCTACTATTTCAGAGCTAATTTGTTGACGTGGACACCACGCACCACTTCCACGTTCTATTCGTAATCTTCAAAAAAAGGGGAAATAGAATTGTAATACTTTTGCAGAATATATTACTTACATTATGGGGTTATGTAGTAAGTGAGTGTAGCGTGACCTTTAAAATGTTACAACAATAAATTTTGCATAATCTTTCATTTCATTTAATATTCAATGATATTTGAACTATTTTAAAATATTCCATTTCGTTTATTTTCAATGTGTTAATTAATTAATTAATTAACATATGATGGTATCATTTAAGTTGCCAATTGTAAACTCTGTTAATATTATTCAAATATTTTCTTAATAGAATGAAAGAGAGGAAGAAATGATTAAATTGTAAAATTTTTAAAATTAAAAATTCAATTTACTTCAAAATAGTTTCTTAAAGGTATGTGAAATTATTTCAATTAATAATTATTACCAACTTCTATTTCAGTCATTTGATATCATTTAAAAAGTAGCAATAAATTCTTTCATATCGATTCAAAGATCATCGGATAATTACTAGTACTATCACTATCATCACTACTATTGACATCACTATCAACACTGCCACTATCAGTATTAGCTAATCAGCATTATTGTCAGATCTTTTATTCTGACAATAAAATTATGCAAATTTTACTTAATTAAATTAAATTATATTATGATAATTAGGAATAAATGATATCAATAATCATTTCTTTTAACTACTAAATTTCACCTATCCTTCTTTTTCATATTTGTTTAACCAAAATTCATTTCAACTTTAATTATTGGATTTTATGAAGCAATTTTTAATTTATAAAAATTTTTTAAAATAATGGTTTTCTTTTTTTCTCATTCAAATTTTTCCTATTCAATTATTATTAAATTATTCATGTCCTTCTATTCATATATATATTTTATTTAATTATTCATGTTCTTCTATTCATATATATTTTATTTAATTATTTATGTTCTCCTATTCATATATATATATACATAATTTATATTTCTGTCTTCCTTTATGATTGAGATATGGATAAAATTAGGCCAATAAATATATCTTTTGGATAAGAAAGAGACGAAATGGCCTAAATGAATCTAATTAGTAATTCATTTCAACAATTCCATACGTTATGCAAATAGAATTACCCTAAAGCAATGAAATAGAACGAATGCTAATAAATATGTTAAATGTTAAATTTAACCAAAGATATGATAGCTGCCAAATCAAATGTGTTAATTTATTATAATAGTAAATAATTCGTAATACATATATATTAATTACCAATATAATTTTTGAATTAGCAAAATGATAAAATTTATCAATTTATAAAACTAAATTTTAACTATTTCAATTTTTAAATCAGTTTAATTTCATTTATAATTTATATTGATGAAATTTAATTTATTATAAACAAATGAAAAGAATTTAAATTTAAATTTATTTATAATAAATTAAATTTGATATAGTTAAAAAATAAACATGAAAATAATTATAATAATAGAAACAAAAATGCTAATGAATTTTGAATAATAATTTATTTAAAAAACAATAACCTTGAATTTTGTGGTCCAGTAGTATCTTTATCATGGCTTGAACTTGCTGATAATTGATTGTCTTTGATAAGACCAGATTCCATACCCAATGGATTTGCACATTCTTCTAGAAAAAAAAAAATACAACAATTTAAATTCGTAATAAATATATTACTTCATGAATGAAATGAATAAATGAAAAGAATTTAAATAATTTTTTAATTATTCTGAAAAACAAAAGAAAAGAAATAAATGAGAAAAGATCCCTTTATGATGAAAAATAAAGAAAAAAAGGAAAAGAAATGAATTTAATTATAGGAAATTAGCAATGAAATAAATTTTCTATTCTTTATACTATCCGATCCATTCAATTTCGGAAATGTATCATATCGGATCGGATGTAATTGGTAGTATCGGCTCATATAAATTATATGTTTGATTCACAATAGGTTATCATCCATTTTTCGTTTAATCATAACTTATTTATTTCACTGTATCATAGAGAGAGAGAGAAAGGGAGAGAGGGAGAGAGAGATAATTCCATTCTTAATTTTATGATACCTTCAAATCGATCGCCTTTTAGAATGAGAAAAAAAAAAGAAAAAGAAGCAGAAACCATTACAAGCTTAACCTTTGACCTCCTTCAATTATGCATTTTCTATTACTCATGAGCAAATAAATAGAACAATAAGCAAATATTTATTTACTACAATGCATTTTAAATGGTAACTATTATTTTTAGAATGATGTACGCAGAGATTCGGAAGGAATCCGGATCTCCATACTCCGTAAATAAATAACTTTTCGAAAGTCATAATAAACTATGTTCTAAACACTCCTACAGTATGACTAAGAATTAATTTTTAATGAAATGTCAGTTTGTATTTCAATTATTTATAATATTTCGTTCATTTCTCATTAATTCATTATTTTTCATTTTTCATTATTATTATTGTTCGCTTTGATTAAATTTCCATTTTAAGAATGAATTTTTACACCTAAATTTCTACTTCAGGAATAATTTTATGGTTGAATTTCTAATTCAGAAATGAAATTTTATGCCTAAATTTCAAATTGAGGAAATTTTAACAAAAATAGAAACAATTCCTTTTATTAAAATCCAAAAATCAAAAAGATTAATTGTTTCAAAGAAAAAGACGAATTAATAAAATTAAGCATTTTATTAAAAATTCATTAGGCAAATTATTTATTAAAAACATTTTTTTCATTTTTAGATTAATTAATTAATTAATTTTTCCTTTTTGTTCTTATAAATTAAATTTTGGTAAAATAAGCAAAAAAATTTTATTAAAATATTTATTTTCGAAATTTTTTTATGCTTTAAAATGACAATTTCATGAGATCGATTAAATTAATTAAAAATTCAGGCCCAGCTATCGCAATTAAAAAAATTAATAATTAACACCTGTAAAAATAGCTCAATTATGCGACTATCGCCATGCTTAATACTGGATTTAAAAGAATTGTCACCTAAAATACTAACACCCATCAATCATCGATCGACAATCAATCAATCAATCGATATATATATATGAAAAAATGAAATTATTTATAATATTTTATATTTACTGTTTCTTGCATATTTTCATATGAAATGATGATGATTGATTGATTATAATATACAAATATCAATCGATAGATACCATAACAATGGTACTATGGAAATTTTTATCCTTAAGAATGATTTACAATTTATTAGATGAAGAAGTGTTGGAGAGAGAGAGAGAGAGATAAATATGAGTGATAATGGCTTAGAATTTATCTGATCAATTGATTTATTACTTTTTCACCTTTTGCTAACCAAAGCATTTTATAGGTTAAGAGAAATTCTTTTAGCTCCTTTAAAGCGGTAGCTTTTTAGTATTATCAATAAATAAGTTTTCACGAAACAGCTGACTGCTAACTAGCTACCGTAATTGACCTCATTTTTATTTATCACTATATTTTTGATGATTATTCCTGATATTTATGAAAAATTTTTTACAACTTATCAATAATTATTATAGAATTATCAATAATATTATCAATAATATTTGGGTTTATAAAATATTTAAAATGATCAATCAATAATGCTATATTTTAATATAGTACTTTTAACAGGAATTAGTATTTATTCTTACCACTTTAAAGTAGAGTTCTATAAGAGAGAAAATTTTTGGAACTGTGGAATATCATCGGATTTCAAGTTTAATTTTAATTTTTAATTTAGTTTGAATTTCATTTCTATTAGTCAATTGAAATATATTTGAAAAAATTTAGATACATCCTCTCTGTACTTCTTTTTGTTTTTGAAAATTTATCATCTGAAAGTAAGAGGCTATTGCTATTATTTTTTGTGGGTCGAAGGTCATTGTTTCGGTTTTATGTTTTTCGAAATATAATTTGCATGATGTGCGAAACATATGGTACAATGAAATGACCGAGGTAATTGACATCAGCGGTCATTTTCCACTTAAATCGTCCATCTAAAAGATATTTTCAAGTATCATCTTGATCATTGCCCAACTGCGGTAGTTTCAAGTTAATTGTTTGAACTTTTATTAGCACTTGTATTTATTATTATTATGATCGAGTAAGTGGTACTTCATTTTCAATATGACAACTACTCATTCACTATCTTATCAGAAAATAAAACAGTAATTCAGTTTTAGACCGGAACATCATAATTTTCTCCATTTTTAAATAATCACATTTGATAGATTAAATATATATTCTTAATAGTTTCATCTAATCAAACGAAGAGAACTTTAATGATCACTATAATATTATTTTAAGCGTAGTAAAATTTGTTTTGATATAACTCTGAAAATTTTTTGTATGATAATGATAAGTTTAAAATCAGGAAATAATTTAAGTTTCAATTATCAAAATTAATTCAAAGATAATTTATATTGGAATTTGAAATTGTATCAAATTTAGAATATCTCTCTGAAAAATAAACCATTTGTTATCTTCTAAAAAATACGGAAAACAAAAAATAATATATTATTTTAAATTAGCAAATATTTACAAATTATTATCAATATTTTAGTAATCCCACTAATTATTATCAATATTTTTACCAATTATTATCAATACTTTTACTAATTATTATCAAAATTTTAATAATCCTACTGATTATTATCAATATTTTTACTAATTATTATCAATATTTTAATAATCGATAAATAATAAAAATAAGAAAATGAATTATTTCTCTTTAAATTATTTGGAACTAAAATGAACTACATACAACATTGCAGTATTTTTGACGATAGAATAGCACTAAAAATTTTAACAAGTTATTATTTAGTTATATCTCTCAAGCAATCACTAAACAAATTGAATTTAATAATGATAATTTTGCAATCAACAAAATTTTTCAATTGCTATCATTAGTTTTTGAATTGGTAAAAAATTAAACGAAGCTGTCATTTAAAGTTTTAAAGTTTGTTTTTAGGAATATCATTAGTTTTGTTATTAATTTCAAAAATCTTCAAAACGATTAAATATATTCATCGTTTAAAAATACGACAATAAAATTAAAGGAAGCAATTTTAATTGTAACAAACTTGCTTTAGATAATTAATTTACAACTTTATCTTTTGATTAGTTAACTGTAATCATTAAATGTATTATATTTAAAAGTTGCGATAACTTTTTCAAAATTAATTCAACTTTTACAACATCTGACATAATTTATATCGAAGCTCGCAACTGATAATAAACTTTTAAGTTTAAAATGAACTTTAAAATGAAAAATTAAAATGAAACAGATATTTGTAAACAATTTCATTTTTTTGTTTTAAATAATTTCAGTTAATTATTCCCTTTACTTCAACAAACTGTACACATTTAATATCACAATGTTTATTAATTTATTAATGGGTTAATATTTGTGATAACGCTATTTATATCACAATGTTTATTAATTTATTAATGGGTTAATATTTGTGATAACGCTATTTATATAACAATGTTTATTAATTTATTAATGGGTTAGTATCTGTGATAATGCTATCAACGTGATAAATAATAAGGCCATCAAAATTCTTATTTTACACGATCAATTGGAATAATAAAATGAAATAATAAAATGAGATATGTTATCAGAACTTATCATTCGTTTCTTCTGAAACTTTCCCTTCAGAAGTATTTTATCAAAACAAAAATAAACAGCAAAAGTATTTGCTGACAAAAAAGGGATATAATTAAATTGTTCAATTTGATATCGAAAAATCATTTACATTAATTAAAATATTTAATTTTCACAGAATATATTTTGTTTGCCTTTTAAACAATACATAGTTTTTTTGGTAAACAATTTGTATAATTATAATAATTATGCTTTTACTATTTAATATTAGTAACTAATAAATTTGCAAAACAATTTCCTTATGAATTTTGTCATTTACATTAATCAAAATATTTAATTTTCACAGAATATATTTTGTTTACTATTTAAATGTTTGTTTTTGTTTACTTTTTAAATGTTTGTTTACTTTTTTAAATATATTCTTTTTGAAGGACAATATTTTTTTATAAACAATTTGTATAATTTTATTAATTACGCTTTTACTATTTAATAATAGTAACTGATAAATTTGCAAGCAATTTTGTTATGAATTTTGCTATTTACATAAATTAAAATATTTAATTCTCATAGAATATATTTTGTTTACTTTTTAAACAATAAATACTTTCTTGTAAACAATTTGTATAATTATAATAATTATGCTTCAACTATTTAATAATAGTAATTAGTAAATTTGCAAGCAATTTTGTTACGAAAACAAAACATTTAAAATATTTTCAATATTTATTTTGCATCTAAAATTATTTTAAAACTTTCCATCATTTTATTTCTAATTTTAATTTAACATTTGTTAAATGAAACTTATGAAATTTCTGGAAGAATTATAGCGAAATAAAAAGACAATTTCTTTTTAATTTAAATGATCATTATCATTATCGTCATTCATTAGATCATTATCATTATTGCCATCATTATTAGTACCTATCATTATCATCATTCATTAGTACCATAAATACTAAATTTTTGATATTTTAAAATTTAAACAAAATTGCTAATCGTATTTTTGCT